TTAAAATTGAAAAAATTAAGTTTTCTCATGGAGAGAAAAGAATTAAAAAGAATTTTAAATTGAAAAAAAATTATTTATAACATGAACAAAACAAAAAAAAGAAAAAGAAAAAACAAAAAATGAAAATGGAAACCTCTTTGATGGAGATTTTGGAGAAAACCTCCATCCATGATTGGAGGTTGAGGTTTTTGAGGAAACCTTCAATCATGGATGGATAGACAGAGGTTTTCCCAAAAACTGTTTGAGTTTTTGATCCCAGCAGAAGAACCTTATTGAGGATCAATTGCAATAGAATGGTCAATGAATGCATCAGATGACATTCCCATCAGAGCACTCCAACTTAACATAAAATAGTTAACATCAACAAATAGATACATGAACACAAAAACATGTACGAAAACATGAAATTGATTTCCAAAAGAACATCATTGAATTCATTAGTTCAGTATGTGATTTACACAGAATATCCATCTATAATTTGAAGAGTCCACTTTCTCCTCAACTAACATACTTTTGAATTAAATATGTGATCCTCACATAATGGTGAATATTTAGTTAAGCTCAATCTAAGTTATGATCCTTATGACTCCATTTTCTTTCCATGGATTTGTAGTAATTGAGAATTCAATGATTCAAACCATTTATGAATCACCATAGTTAATAGTTGAACTCAAACTTTGTTTATGAATATATATATATACATATACATATCAAGAAGTCACTTTGATTATATGTAAGAAATTAGAATATGTTGAATCATATTAATTTAAAAGCGTCAAGTAGCTCATAGTGTGGTTGGCCTAATATAAGATCAAATATCAATGGGAGGAGACTTCATTGAGCTTTTTTTGTATTACTCAAACGCAATCAATAGTTAATAGCAACCCTTCTTCGTATTGTCACAAAGGGAAGTAACGTTCGATATGCCACCTGTTGATCGAATTCCCAACCAATTTCTGACTGTAATGGATGGAATGAAGGAGATTTTTTTTTCATAATTGGGACTACTAATAGATTGACATAATTGACCTGGTCATCTTGATCAATTAGTTTATGTCCCTGTGCCAGATGAACAATTACACTTCCAAATTTTCAAGGCTTGCCTTCGAAAATCTTTGCTTTTCAAAGACATTCATCTAAGAGATCTTGTCGAATATACTCCAAGATTTAGCGATGGTGATATTACAGAGATATGGCAACGGGCTTGCAAATATGCAATCAGAGAAAATATTGAGAAAGTATGACTCTTTCCTACTATAATTTAATTTTTCGAACGTATCTATGAATATCTTAGATTTTTACGTGCCTTCGGACTTGAAGTTTGTTTGGGAAGTGTTGATTTAAATTATAAATAAATATCATGTCTGTTAATCATCATCCTCTATGGACTTTTTGTGAATTTACGTCAATTTATTGGATATAATATTCCCTTGTACTTTTTCTTAATTTTTATGCTAGATCTAAGTTCCAATTCCAGTAGTTTGTTCTATGGACGTAAGCTTATTCCTCTGACACATCCTCCGACACATTTAATCGAAAATGTAGAAAATCTAATTAAGACTCCAATTTCTTACTAGTTGCACATAGCTGTTTGTTATAAATGAAATCTTAACTGAAAGATAATGTTCATCTTCTTCCAAATTATAGCACTTTATTTACGTCAATACATATAATGTTGCACCAAAACATTTGTCTTATATATTTGTTCAACAATCAACACACCAACACACGCTTATATTTAATATTCACCAACTAATGTGCAACGCACGTTTCCTCACTAGTAAAATAAAAAGTATAGGTTGTCATATCCAAATATGACTACATCCATCCATCGAATTAATTAGAGCCTGCCATTGATTTTGAAGGGTAGAAGTTGACCTGGTTAATTTAGTCCATGTTTACTGTGTAATAAAAATATAAGTCAATATTAATAATTAATTTTAATTAGATGTTTCATAAGATTCATAACGTATATTAATTTTTTGATCACATATTTCATTATTTTTATGAAAATTTAAAAATCTAATTTTTAGTTATACCAAATATTTTTTTTTTCTATTAACCCTGCTACAAATATTGGAAAAACTGCCAAACTACAGTATATAGAGGGACAAATGACACATATTCATTGAATCTCGAACAAAAATTAGTTTTATCCCAACTAATATATGAATGCTACCTATCTCACTAACTCCCATGTACAAGGAGTTTTACTCTTTTTCCATTTCCAGCCTATCGTAGACCATATGGTGCCTAAACAGGACATTAAAAGACATTTTAGCTAACATTTTTGGGAAACATCACTTGAACAACCTGCTGGACATCGAGGGGGTTGTGTGGCAGCCCTCTATTGGAGGTGCGCCTGCAGATTGCTCAACAAGCAGCCCCCAACATGTTTCTTGAGTTTATATAACATTTTACAAAACTATTCAACCAAAACAACTTGCTCTTTGCCATATTCAAACAGGTTGAATTTGGTGTGAGATGACTAGACCATATCTAGAAATTTTGTCCCTACCACAGTCTAATGGTTGAATTTGGTGTGAGATGACTAGACCATATCTAGAAATTTTGTCCCTACCACAGTCTAATGATTGTACAGTTATTTAAGCACAGTCAAATCAAAACTCTTCATTTTTCCCTTTCTCTACACAGTATTGGCATGTGGTCTAATAATGTACGAACTTTTCGTCCATTCTCCACCCCATACTCCTGCAAAACCCCACCTTTTTACACAGAGACTCGCTCTACTCAGTCTCTATGACATAGAGACTGATTTTGCTTTAGAATTTAGACCCACAACTACTTTCTTTATTAGCATTCTGGCTATGGTAATCTTTTCCTAGCTGCTATTTATTAGTGCATCACATTAAATCCATGCAACTGTAAACAAGTATTGAGAAATAAATGATGCATTTATATAATATGCAGGCATTTACACTATGTAGTAGTATATGTATGTGTAGTAGCACTGACAAATTTGAGCCATAATTATTCCAAGAGTCAGTAGCCCAGTAATTATTTCATCGTGTAACTTTTCGTTTTCCCATTTTCATACCCAACGGATTTCCACTTTCTGCATCTCCTTATTCTATCTATATAGGCAGGCTGTATGCTTCTCTTTTCTGGGAAGTTTTTGGATTCCTTCACAAATTCTACTGAGACTGTATTCTGTAAATTGCTTGTGTATATATATTTTTTACAACTATATTCATTGGTGGACGGTGGTGGGAAAGTTTAGAGAAATGAAAGGTTCAGGAAGCGGTGATTCATGGCCACTGCCACCGCCGCGGCCAAAGTCACCCCCGGAGTACCCGGATTTGTACGGGAAGCGGCGGGGGTTGGTCAATGTTCAGACGATGGAAAGAGAGATTGGTTTTCTCGAGGTCAGTTGGTCGACTCAATTTTCGCTGTGCAAGTTGGATTTTTTTTCCCTCTTGTTATGGTCCCGTTTAGTTTGTTTTTCAATTCTCATTATTTAATGTTGTTCAATTATGGTATGTTTGACAAAGCGATTAATTAGCCAATAATTATTTTATTGTCAGTTGTATTTAATCCCAAACACGCCATTAAAAATACAGGGAATCAAATATGCCCTTGGTATTCTGGTAGCCAAAGATGTGATTTTATTTTCTTATGTAAGAACATATAGCATGTTTGACCAAGTCTAAATAAGAAGTAAACTTGCACCATTGGGCTACCCCGGCATAGTTCAGTAGTGCAAAGTATAGAAATGAAGTCATTTCACGCCTTACTGGCAGTCACAGTGTGGGGGTTCGATTCCTGAGATATGGAATTGGACTCATTGTAGACGCATTGTACATACGGCTCTTGTTCTCTGGCCTGGTGTGTGACACATCCTACGATTTACCTCCCTCATAAAGCTCTAGCAGCGGAACGGTGAAAACCCTCAAAGTTGGGGTTCAACAAAGAAACAAACCAGCTTATTTAGTGCGGAGTTTGGTTGTGCTTATACTTATAAGCATCGAGACCCACTACTTTTTGCGTCTCAAACTAAACAAATAGTGGATCCATGCAAGTCATTGGATCTACCATTTTCATCCGATGAAATTAGGCCCAATACTGCCCAAAATCACTAAAATTGAAGAATACACTTAAAAAAATAAATTTTCATTAATCTTTTTATTTAACAGTAAAATATACGTCCAAATAATTTACAGCCACCATTAAACAAGCCTTTCTCTTTCTATTTATTCAATCCGAAGTTTTTAAAGAAACAATCACAAGTAGAAGAGGATAGCAGTTGTAGAAGAGGGAAAATCAAGTAGAACTAGGTTCCTGAGCAAACTCAATACTGTGATTACCAACAGAATCGCTGTCATTTATGGGACCGTCGAAGATTGCACGGGAGGCGGCTGTCTTTTACAATTATAGAAATTTTTTGGGCATTTTCAGATTTTTCTTCGGGGGGTTTTGACCAGAAATTTTCAAGCTCTCGACAGAATTTTTCCCGATTTAGATTTGGTGGGTAAAAAACTACCAAATTCAACTTCAGGCAGTTCAAATTATTATTTTAATCGGCAATTATTTCTTTTATCCTTACACTTTCAGCATTTACAGAATTGTTAGGTTAATTCAGGAATTTGATACCGATTCTAGGCTTCTATCTAGAGTGCTGAATAAGGTTGGAAAATGGAAGTTAAATTTTGTTGTTTATTTTATGGGCTCAATTTCTCGGATCTACTACGATTCTCAATTTTTGTATTTGAGTTTGATTGTGATTTGTGAATTGTGAACTTGTTTGTGGTAATTTTTGCTGGTGGTTGTGATTTGCGATCTAATTTACAATTAGAGCTGTTAAATTGAGTCCATAGCATCGGGAGTAGAGATTGATGGTCAGATATTATATAATAGTTGCTAAAGACATTGTATAGAATTGGAGATTATACAATTTTTTTTAATTTGTGTTACTCAACACTTTTTTTTTTAAATTTCTGTCACTTTTTTAAATTTTTGTCACTTTTTTTTTGTTACTTTTTTTAATGTTTGTTATTTTTGTCAGTCACATTCTTAATTTCTATAATTTTTTATTAACAAACTTCACTTTTTAATAAAAGTGATATTTTATGTCATTTTTTAATAAAAAAGTGACACTTAACACTTGATTTCTATGCCCCTCACTTTTTTGAAGCTATGTCACTTTTTTTAAATTCGTCACTTTTTCTTTTTAATTTTTATTACTTTTTTAAATTTTTGTCACTTTTTTTTAGTAATTCTCACTTTTTTGAATTGTCACCTTTTCAATCGCCTTTTTGAAATTTTTATCACTTTTTAATAAAAAGTGACATTGAATGCATTTTTTAAAAATAAAAATTGATAGTAAGATTTTGAAAAGTGACATTGTGTGACTTTAATTTTACACAGTATTTTTTATTTCCAAATTTTTTTTATATGATTTTACAAAACATTCATAATTTTAAGGGTATTTTTGTAAACATCACTTTTTAATAAAAGTGACATTTTATGTCATTTTTTAATAAAGAAGTGACACTTAACATTTGATTTCTATGCCCCCTCACTTTTTTGAATTTGTGTAACTTTTTTTAATTTATGTCACTTTTTTTTTTTTAAATTGTCACTTTTTTGAATTTTTGTCTTTTTTTTTTTTTTTTGTAATTCTCACTCTTTTGAATTGCCAATTTTTCAATCGTCCTTTTGAAATTTCTATCACTTTTTTTAGTGACAAACATCACTTTTTAATAAAAAGTGATAATGTATGCAAATTTTTTTTAATGAAAATTGAAACTAAATTTTTAAAAGTGACATTGTGTCACTTTTTAATTTTACGCAGTATTTTTTATTTCTAAAAAACTTTTTATATGATTTTACAAAACACTCTTAATTTTAAGGGTATTTTTGTAAGTTGACCTTTTAATGAACAGGGGAAGAGGGGGCCCAGGCCTGCCCCAAAACCCACTTATCTTTTTTCAGTTTAAAGAAAATATTTTTAAGGGAAAAAAAATTATTTTTCTACATTGATAATGCTTTATCTAGTAATATCGGGCATTGGTCTGAGAGGTATGAGCCCTGTCAAGAGCCAGTATAATTTTTTGTCCCCCGGCTCTGCCCTTGTTTTTAATAAACAACTATTGAGCATGACCAATCAAGAAACAACTTCTAAACAGAAGTTAAACACGTTTGAGAAAGAAAATTACTTGGACGTAACTTTTAAAGCTACAAACATATTTGAAAGTTTTACTTTAGACTTAGCTAAAGATACTTTCCATGTTGTGCTAAAATTTGAAAAAAAATAAAAATTACTAAGACTAATTTGGATTTGGCTGAGTAAGATAAAATTTTTACAGAACATGATGTTTGGCCCCAAGGAATTTTATATATGTTTGGTCTAATCATTTCAACTTAATATCAAATAGTATACTGGTTTGGACCACTAGGAACAAGTACTTTTCTCGACGGCAACTTATTCAAGATTCTCCTAATGGAATTTGGCTCTTATATTGCTTGCTGATAATGATTTCAGTTTACCCTGTTGAATTCACAGGCTTTTTAATGACTTGAAACAAAGTACTTATGAACCATTTTATGCTGTGGTTTGATGTTGTTGAGGGAAGAGTTAGTACTAAGAAAACAAGGATAAAGCATCGGTATTTTATTGGTGAAACGAAAATAAAATGTCTTACCGACTTTTATCAGTAAAACCTCTTCGCCAATTTCTTTTGACATGTTCGATCCGTCATTAGGTATATTTATATTTGGTATAATGTTTTTTCTGTAGCAGCAGATGTTATGTTCATTGATATAAAGAAAAACTGGCTGGACACATTGTGAGAAAACAAATGAATTGATGCAATGGCTTCTGCTAATGTCAATTTTTGGTTGAAAAATGTGATGAACTCGTTTTACTGTTGTGTCGAGTGAAGAAAATATGTTTCAGTGGACTCATTTGTCTGCTCTGAATGCCCACCTCTTCTGCATAATGCACCGACACGAACATGTGTGTCGGACACTTCGACATGTGATTTTTAAAAAACGTGCTGACACGACACGTTGTTGACGCGTCGATTAAATTCTTTAAAATTCTTCGGTTATACAGTATAAATTTAATTTACATGATATGTCTAATAAAAAAGAAAAGTAATCATGGTAGAGTATCCGAAGAGTGTCGGTATCTGATGCGTGTCCGTCCGACTCAAATAGGCCTCCCTAATTGAAGTATCCATACAACAGTATTGGTAATTATCTTTTTAAGTGGTTCTAAATATGTATGATCTATCTCATTCCTGTTTTCTTTTGTTTGCATTGTTGATATGATTCCTGTTTGTGTTATGGCTGTAACTATTGCAAGTGTTGGTGGTAATTTCCACACTTTTCAAACTGAGATGAATGCAAATCTTTGCAGCCAGCCTGCTTTTTATTTTTTCGGTTCACATTGTTGAATTACATTACATAGAGATTTGCACCATCCTATACTGCAGAAATATTTATAGGCTTCAGGAGAAGTATTTTTTAAGTACTACATTTTTATAGTTATTACTTTTTTTGGATATATTAAGTTTTCTTAAAAGCCTATTTTCATGAATGAGATCTTCAATTGAAAATCTGATTTTAACCAGGAAGAATTAAAGTCTGTTGAAAGCCTCCAACCGGCTTCTCGAGCCTGTAAAGAGTATGTAATTTTTCCAGGAACGCCTTGCTTAAATTCTAGAAGTATTTATGGATGAAACATATTCATTACCAGTTCTCAATTAAACAAATTGTGAATTTGGCAGGGTTGTCGATTTTGTTTCGGGAAATGCAGATCCTCTTATACCTGTGTAAGAACGACCAGTTGAACATCTTTTCATTGGATCTTACTACAAAATGGCGATTTCTCACTTTTGTATTTATATTTTTTGGTTAATCAAAGCAGAACTAGGAAGACTCGCAGATCTTGTAGTTTATCTTGTGGCTTCTGGAAATGGCTCTGGTACATGCTTCTTGACGCTCAACTCTTTCTCATGTATTATAGATTATTATTGAAGATATCTGTTTTGCGACCTTAATTCTGTTGGTTCAAGACAAAATTCCCTTTAGTCTGATTAATGATTTAGTTCTTGGCATGCCATGTCTGGCTGGCGACTGCAGAAATATGTTGTGCCTGGCATGGACTGAAATTCTTCGAAGTAATATTTAAGATGTTGGATAGGACGAGCAATTTACGATTTCTCAAAAAAGTGATAATCGAGCGATAGGAGATAAAAAAACAAGATTTATAGTCATGTCAAGTGTACTTTAATTGTCACAGAAATGTTGAGGTGGTTAGAGGAGATGAACTCCGGGATCTTAAAAGACATAATTAAACCATGTAGTTTCTTGGAAGACTGGCAAGAAACAAGACACTAAAGTTTGATGGATGAAGAGCTGTGAGCTCCTCTTGCATAGCTTCAAAGCCAAGGAAGCACACTCAAATAAATAATGAATTTGAAAATGAGAGGTAGAAGCAATGAATTGCATTGAAATTCTATTCTCTCTTTTATATAATCAATCAAATAGGAGCTAGATCACGATTATTAATACAAGAAAACATTTAATTCAAAATTCTAGTTATGCATTATAAACACGAAAAGACTCCCTTATTTTTGCAATTTTCATTTCTCCCGATTGCTATGAATTGGGGGATTTCTGATTATCCATATTACTTTTTGATTTCCATGAGTTGTGAGCATGGTTTCAAACGATGCCATGATTTGTGGGATTAATTCTTATGATAGTAAGTTGTGGTGGGATGTTTGTTCTTTGGAAAAAGCCTCAAGTACAGGGATTTTCGTATCGAATTCATACAGATGCAGACGTGGTGAAACCTAATTCGCCTAATTTTTGTGTTTTTTTCATCTTCCAATGATTTCACGCTATGTGTTGTTTGTCAAAATTTTCTATTAAAATTTTTTGTACTTTGTAGCATGATCGTTGTTTTTTTTTATTGCCACGAGTTGCTAGTATTATAATTTTACCTGGATTATATTCTTTTTGCTAGCGAGTGGTCTTGTAATTTCTTATGAACTATCGCATATCATTTACCTAAACACAAGGGTCTTCAGAAAATTACCATAGTCGGTCATCAGGAGGTCCTTAATTCAGATAAATAGGTAGCTCATGTTCATGTTTGCGAGAGAAAGAGAGAGGGAGAGAAGAGAGTCTAATATTATTACTTCTCGATATATATGCTTATGAAAATGATACAAGAGTTATTTGGCATGCAGTGAATCATCATGTTCCAACCTTTCATGGATTTGCTGTTGTGGATGCTATCCTCATCTTGAGGTGCCACACTGTTCTGACTGCAATTTATGTACTTGCAAGCCATGCTCGAACTGTTCGAGACTGCCCAAATGCCACTTTTGCTCATGTTCAGATATCCAATGCTTTAACGAGTGCATATGTAGCCAGATTTGCAAGTTCCTTTCCTGCTCCTTTTCTTGCAGAAAATGCACATGTTGTTGTCGTAAATGTTCAGACGTAAATATATGTAACTGTTGTACCAAAATCCGCTGCTGCTGCTGCTGCTCTTGCTCTTAGTACATTCTGAAGTAAATTTAAATGTAATGCCAGTTCTTTATAATTGGCAGTTTATATAATCAATATTGCTTAGAAATTAGCTTGCATTCTATAAATTTCTCTGCTTGTCTGGACTTATTTTCTTGAAAATTAATCATTCTATTGCCGTCATGATGAGTCTGAGACAGACCAAACTATAAAAGGACGTGTTCTGGAGAAATACTTCAGTA